AAAGCCCCCAGTACTTACCACCCCACTGGAAGACTTGGTCTTCAACTCTAACTTGACCATTCCAAATCCTGAAAATAGAAGTACACAGCATCTGTTTCACCGCAATATACAAGCAAGGCTTTCTTCCAACACTCCCAAAGTACAGCAGGTAGGGTACACTGACCTGAAACAGCCTATTTTCATGTTTCAACAGTTGTTGATCTTACTGAGGAATGATTGAAGGTATTTTGACAATTCAAAGTGGGTGGCCTCATAATTTATAGTCATAACAGTCACCCATCATCAAGTATCTCCACCTTCTGTAGCTACCTGCAGTCTGGGACCAACCAATACAGTTATCATTTCTTCAGATTTACTCAATTTACTTTTATATTTCTGATGGCAGGGCAGGTTTTTTTTTTTTTCCCCCCCTTCTCTGAGAAAATTATGTTTCAACTTACTTCAGTCAGGGCCACGTACAAAGATACCATTGCTTTCTTCCTTTTCCTTCTACTCTGCTATGAATCTAGGGAAATACCTGGCCCTTGCATAGGGTAGAAAAGCCTGAAACAACTGACACTAAAGCAGAGAACTTGAGTTGAATTTTAGCAAAGCGTGAACTCCAGAGCGGCAGAAACCAGACCAGAATGCTCGTTAATTTTATGTCGCATATGGATTTGGGATAAAACAGATTAAAAATCTCAACACTTTTAGTATTTCTCCCAGAGAAGGGGCTAATACCAGAATTCCTCCATTTAAATTCCTGAAGAAGAATGCAAATATTGTGAAATAATTTCTACTACAGCTACAACATTAGGCTATTCTGATTAACAGAAAGATCAGTCTGCCTCAGGAACCTGTTTGTTGTCACACACGGTCTCCAATGGCAATTTATGTGAGTTTGACTGATTCAATGCCTCAAAGCAGAAAAACTGTAAGGTAAAAAACGTAGCATTCTTCAGAGACTGTTCTGGAGTGCACCTTAAGGTCAAACTCTTAACTTTCCCCTCTAACTCTTTGTCTACTAAAGCATTCTCATGATACGTGTCTAAATTTCAAATTTAGATGGGGCTAGATGCTCCGGGCCTCTGCTGAATTCCGACCACAAGGTGTTCAGGGGATCTCTGGTGTACCAACGTTTTTGTTGTCGTTTTCAAGATACCCAGGAAAAAATACGAAAGGTTATCAAACCACAGTCACATTACTTACCATATCCCTTGTTGAACACATCCCTGGCAGACTTTCCCAAGTCACTGTATGATGGTGGTACAGCCATTGGGTCTGTAAAATATTGGAAGCTGTAAGAATCTTGGGTTTAACAGCATGAAATCTAAACTATATCCAAAGCATTTACAAATGTCTGTAACTAGTACCCTCTGCATATTTCACCGATATGAACTGCTAAACCTGTAAAGAACATTCATGAAAGTCATCCTTGAATCATCATTGCTCTGTTGGAAACAAACTTCAATTCAAAGAAATTATGAAAGCAAATCCATTATTTAGAATCACTGGACCCCAGGGACAGTATTACATTCAACTACATCTGTAGGCCTCACATTCCTACACACAGCAAAAAAGAGCTCACGGGAACCCTATTGCTGCTCAGATGGAAGAAAAAATTACAACCAGTGAATCATTAAATTGGCAAAAGAGAAACAGAATGTGCTCTTTTATGACAGCTAGGTTTAAATTATTACAATAGTTTTAGCAACACAGTTGTGGATGGAGCAGGGCATAACTTTCTTTTAAAACGCTAAGTTTTCACACAAACCTCTCTTCAGCAGTTTCAACTCACATTTTAAATTTGGGGTTTGGGTTTTTTTTTTTTGGCTGGTTTGGTGTTTTGGTTACTTTTTGTCTGGTTTGTTCTGGGCTTTTTTTAATAAGTTTATCATAATAGTTGAAACCCCTGATTTCAAAAGCCTAGTTACTCAAGTTTTTGGAGCAAGGCTGATGCTTGGACATTTTAACATATAACACACGAGCAGGTTTTTTAAAAAATTGCTCTTCAGTCACGACTGACTTTCAGGGAACTGTCCCGCTGTTGAAAACATGACAGGAACACTCCATAATCATGTATTTGTAGCTGGCCTCCAAACCACATAACCTCTTTTCAGTTAGAAGTTTGAGAGTCGTCAGTGGTGAGCCACAACACATTTTGGGAGTTGAGACAGAACTGTTCCAAGTTTAGAAGACCTCGGTCTACTCTACCTTTCAAATTACGTGGAGATGTTACATCAAACAAAAGCAAGAGCTTAGATAACACACACACACACACACACACAGAGTTTCTGAAAACATCCCACACCCTACCTCTTATGCTTTGCCAGCTGTTTCTCAAATCTACCTCCCTGCACAGGAGGGCATGGGCTTTAGAAAGACAAATGACAACAGAGTTGACCACCGAGCAGTCTTGAGGCCCTCCTCACCAGCTTCACTGAAAACGCTTCAAGTAAAGGTGGACTTTATCCTCCTGTTCAGCACCAACTCAAGCTTTGGGCCGACACCCTGTTCTGTTTAGACCTAGTTTTCATAAGGTTATTGAGACATTTTGAACGTGAGGCTGTTCTCTCTCCTAAAATGTTTTTTCTCTTTACACTATACAGCTGTATTTTCCATATTCTATGGGTTTTAATGTGTATGTTAAATATTATGCAAGTATTTAAACACTATCCTAAAAAAAAGAAAAAAGATTCTTCAGGTTAGCTCGTGCAGAAATACATGAATTCTTGCAAGCCAGAATTGTTTAGAGGAACTGAGCTCACAGTTCCACAACTATTAATACTAAATTTGAATCGGTCCCCATCAACCAGATGCAATGACAAGAGCCGACAAAACACAATGAAAAGCTAGAAAAGAAACATTAAACCAGAGATCTAGAACCAAGCCACAGTACTCATTTTAAGCACCTTGCTTTTAAACAAAGCCTCCTTGATCTTGTTCTTTTTCCCTTCACAACAGTAAAATCCGTACAATTACAGGAGAAAACGTATCAAAGAATAAAAGGCTGGGAGCAGCTGATGATTGACGTTGCCGTCTTCAGATACAGCGCACAGTAAGCCAACATCTTACATAAACGGCAAAAAGGTAGCAGCAGCTCGGAAACTTCAACGGAGAAATAAACACAAAAACACCCACACGAGTTTATGGAATAACTGAAAACAAAAACAAAATTTTTTTTTAAAAAAAGAAACCCAAACCAAAAAACCCGTACACAAGAACGGAAAATGAGAAGAACTATACTTGGAGATGCCAGCTCCATTTTCACCGGCGGGTCCCGCGGCAGCGCTGCCCGTGACGGCGGCCGAGCCGAGGCGCGGCGGGGCGGGGCGGGGCCGGCTGCAAGGCGACGGCAGCGCGCGGGCGCGCTCACGAGCCGCGCGGCCTCCGCCTCGCCCGCTCCTGACGCGCGTTACGCAACGGATAACGGCGCGCGGCCCACCGGGCCCCCCCGCGCCGGCGGCGCGCCCCGCCGCCGCCTCCTCCTCTCGCCGGCGAAACGGCGGCGCTCGGTCGCTGCCGACGCCGGAAGTTCGTGCTTCCCGGTCGGGAAAGCGGAGCGCTGGCGAGACCCCCGGCCGCCCGCAGAGCGAAAGCCGGCCCGCGCCCCGGAGCCGTCGCCTCGGCAGCCCGCGGCCGCGTCGCCGGGCCGGAGGACGCGGAAGCGCCGGCCGGAGCGAGCGGCCCGCCGCCTCCTCAGGGCTGCGGCCCTGCCCCGCCGCGTCAAGGCGACGCGAGGGACGCCCTCCTCGGCCCGGGCAGCGCCGCGGAGCCCCGCTGGGGCCAGACCGCGCGCCCCGCCCCGCCTCGCCGCAGCCCAGGCCCCGCCGCTACCTGCCGGCCGCGCTGCCTCCCAGAAGAGGTCCCGGCGCCCCCAGCCCGCCTGCGCGGCCCCGGCCCCGCCTGCCCGGCCCCGGCCCCGCCTGCCGCGGCCCCGGCCCCGCCTGCCGCGGCCCCGGCCCCGCCTGCCGCGGCCCCGGCCGAGCAGAGGCGCTTCGCCGCAACGACCGCTCCCGGCGGCGGCGGGAGGAGGCCGGGCCGGGCCGCCGCGCCCGCCCGCCGGAGGGCTCCGCAGCGCTAGGCCCCGCTGCTGACGCGCGGAGCGGCGGCGGAGCGGCCGGAGCCGACTCCGGTCTCGGCGGCCCGCAGCAAGGGCTAACTCCTGCTCGGGGTGAGCGTGGGCGGATCGCCGGAGTCGGTATTAACTGCCCCCGGCCTCACGGCAGCTGTGCGAGACTCCGGCAGATACTACAGCTCCTCTCGGCTATTTATCAAACACACAGAAATTTATGTATGTTTCTTTTCCGACCCTCGCTACTCGTTGCCATCCCGGTTTTGAGCTACAGCTCGGACAAATCCCTCAGTAAGGGCCGCTACAGCCCTGAGGCAAAGGAAGAAGAGAGGCACACCCCGTCTTGATGCAGGACCTTACAACTGGGACAAGAGCAAGCACCGATGGAATGGTGCAGCCGCTATCGCTGACAAAACCCAAGTGCATAAGGTACACACAGTAGTTTAGTCCATGCCCATTTACACACATTTCCTATGATAAGCCCAAGGTTTGCAGCTGCTGCCTCCCACAATTACCAGATACTTTGATTTCCAATTCTGCTGGAGGAGCGGGGGAAGAACTGTAACACCATAAGAGCTAGGTAACCGGGAAGGGGGGGCGGGCAAGAGGGGGGACAGTACAGGCAGGGAGGAAAAAAAAAAAGACAACCCACACTGCATATTTATATAGTTCAACCAAAACAGACACACACTCTGAACAATCCCTTTTACTTTCACCTAGAAGTATCCAGTGTTACAGAGCAACTGCAAGGCCAGCAAATTCTGCCTCAGGTCCCAAGACAAAGTAGTCTTCTGGGCTACCTGTTGAGGAGGATGGAGAATGCATGAGTGTAATGCTGTGTGCTACCTATGAACCATTTGTAAACATGGTAAGCTTGTGTTACTGCGTTTTGATGCTCTTAAAATTATAGCTAAAAAAAAAAAAAAAAAAGATTACACATTCATGATAGAATTATCACTTTGTTTATTCCCATTGATTATTGAAGAAAATATTGACTACATCACCTATATATGTTTTTACTATGAGGCATCAGAAGACTTCACATAGTACCAAGTTAACTTCTAGTCACCTTACATACCACTGCATGCATTAGGCCTGGGGAACATTTCCAGAAAATAATTAAACTCCCAATAGAAAAGCCAGAAGAAAATAAAGGTATAAACAAGAGTATCAGTCTATAATCTCCATTATTAAGGCTGATCAACACTAATTATATAAGAACAAGTAAAAATGTAGTTGTCCTGTAGGCTTAAGTCAGATGAAAATAAGAACCAGTATTACATCCGTCTTTGTTTTATGATTCAAGTCACATTAAGCAGTCTGACAATACAGATGCAAACTCTTCTCTGCCCCCATAAAGGCAGACAGAGGACCTAATCATTAACAGGTCAAGAAAAGTGTTATATAAATTAGCAACAGTCAATTTGACTATGTATAAAATAGTCTTACCTTTTCAAGCTTGCAATTCTGCAATACGTTTGCCTTACATTTCTACAAGGTATTCAAATACAGTAATAGCAATTCATCTCATGCTGATGCTCTATAATACATCAAAGTTAGCAGTTTGCTTCTTAAAACTAGTTTAAGTTAACCAACAGAATCCCTGTCCCAAATACAACTAGTAATGCAATCTTGATGGGACCTCCTCTCACATCCAAAATACTCATTACCTTTCACAGTGTTTTAAGAGGAGCTATAAAAACCAGAGCTGACAGGTTTGCATACAAAAAGGACAGATTGACTCTATAGGAGTGGTGGACATGCATCCATTAACCAGACCAGTCTTCTGGGTGATGGCAAGTTGGACAAAATATAGACTGCAACTGATACTAGGAACAAAGAACATGGGTCACACGCAATGGGAAAATGGTCACGTTGTGGCCATATTGCCATATGGCCATATTGTAAGGTTTTAGAAGGATGGACACAGAAAGAGCTTAGCATGAGCTTCAGCACTGCATCAGGACACTTAGCAGGGATAAAGGTATACAGATAGGAGTTGAAAATGGTATTCTCTAGGAGTACTTCAGGACATAGCCAGCTTTCTCATTCTGGTGCCTATGCATACATAAACATACAAAGAACTAGACACAGATCAGCAGAAAGATCAAGCAAACCAATATGCAGTTCCGAGCAGGCAAATGCCTACATTAGTTAAAAATTTTAATCTCTTTACAAGAAGGCTGGCTAACCAAGAGAAGAGGTGCATTCTGTCTTCAGAAGCAGGGTTGTTGCTGATAGATTAAAAGGTTGTCTGTTAAAAGCCTACATTAGACAATTGTATATATTATTTAAATTGGGTGGCTGGGGTTTTTGGTGGTTTTATTTAAAAAAAAAAGTGCTAAAAACTAGAGGCTTCGCTTATTCTTCATCACTCGACATTTTTGGATCAGGGTTTGATGTCCAAAAAAAGAGAAACACATAAAAAAAATAGGATCTGTGACCTTTGAGAATGGATCTTTCTGTCTAAAAGTTTATGCGGGTATAAATCTGTCAATGTTTAAAAATATCAGGAGAAAAAGAAAGATAGGTTGATTTTTTCTCTCAAGGTATCGGGACAAATGCACCACAAGACAAAGTACCAACACTATTCAGAGACTGTAGCGTCTTTCATTAGAATTCTCAACCCCTTTTCTTTACACTCTAGGGAAACTCAGTACCATTTCTCCTCTTCCTTCCACAGCACATCTGAAACATGGCTCTTTACTCCCAGCTGCCTCCTCCGACACTGAATTAGCAGAGGTACACCCACAGTGCTGTTTTGTATTGGTATTTCCTTTACTTTGCAAGTAAAGCCAAGATGCATTCTGGCAGAAGCCTACGTCTACAAACATAACCTCCACGTTGTGCCACATGCAATGACAACGTTCTTTTTAGACTCAGTTATGAGGAGTGGGATAACTGCAGAATTCCTACAACAGTAATCACAGTGATGTTCTTCGATGAAAATAGAGAAACAGACTGCTTTCTGCTATCACTGCTATCTTCAGGCAACACAAAGCTCTTGGGAGCACCCTGCTATTGCAATCGGTCATCTGCATTGCCATACCACTCAAAGCCCATTACACTAAGAGCCAGGCGCAGAGACTTAAGAACTGCAAGTACTCACGCAGCTGCTTACCCAACTGGAGAAATGGATACGTAGAAAAACTATTCTGGAGAACTTTTCCAGTGAGCTCTCCAGAACATGCAACTGCACTCTAATCAAAGATATAAAAGAGCAAAGACAGAGGCAATTGTGTAAGGACAGTCTCTACACAGGCACACATCCTTGTGGTTTTAACAGCCACAACAGCGGTTTTTGCAGCCAGTTTCGTTTGGACAAACTCTACAGGGAAGACGTCAGCAGGTGTATTATTTAGTAAAAGAAAAGCACACCACTTTTAAAACAGCAAGCTCTACAGCAGAGGAAGCAGAAAATAATGCTTTTATGTACACTAGGAATTTCTACATTTACAAGATCTCTGCATACCTCGACAGACTTGTAATAGACGCTTTGCCAGTAAAGAAGGGTTAGTTCCCGCGTAAGAGAAACACCCACAAAGGAGACAGAAATTTGTTCTGAACTGGCAAGGGAGGACTCTTGTCTAAAAGAAACCACACTTTAGCATGCACAACCGTGTAACGCGCTGTCTTCCTTACACGGGAAAACATGAAAACCTTAGGGTTTGCTCTAGATCTCTTAAATCATTTCAGTAGGACATTTAGGGCTGAATAAAAGAAAGCCAGAATGAGCCTCGGGAAGAAGGTCACTAGTCTATGGCCAGGGCATCCTGAACATTGATTTGTCACAGGCAATGCCGCTAGGAGGAATCTGTGGACAAGGTAGAGTGGCTGCAGAAAGGACAAAAGGGCAGATCACATGCTGCTTATAGGTCAAGAGGGAGAAAGCTGCCTTTGCACCTCAAGCTGTGCTTTTGGGCTTTACTGCACACATTTCCAGACTGAAATCTGCAAGCCAGTTAGTTCTCCGTGACGTTGCCCAACATCCAGAAGTTCTTTAGCACTGTGACCATGGCTTCAGTTAGTCTTGTCAAACACAAGTCAGTAGAGCAGCACAACTGTCACACCTGAGCACCTGCCAAAAGACTAAGATATATTAGTAATGAAAAGAGGTATAAAGGGATGTGCATTTTCATCTTAGAGTTATTTGTGCACTGTGCCATACACTCAGGTCTCTTCTTCCATGACCTAAAAGCTACTACTAAGGAAACATCATCCTGCAACACATACGCACCTTACATTTATTTCAGTCCATAACCCTGAATGACAAGCAATAGTGTGTCCCATAGGCTGACTCAGTGCTAGGAGATTCCTTTGCCTTCTCACTAGGTGAGCGAGTTAGGAGGAGATTAGTTTCTTTAAAAGCTCAAAAGAATACTTAAAAGTCTAGACGCCACAAACATTTCCACCTGGTGTCAAAACGACCTGTAATGTTTAACGATGTTGCAAAGAAATCAACAGGCCCAGCAGACTTCAGGTTCTCCATCACTGGAGGTTTTTGACAGCAGCCAACAGAGACATGAATAACAGTTTAAAAATTCCACTTCAAGACCAGAAAGGGTCTTTCAAGGACATGTACCCCATTTTCTTTTCTCATTTGCTCCAGTTACTGCAGAGCTTGAATATAACATCCTTGTCTGATTTTGAACTTGAAATCCTACGGAAAATCCTCCGTCACGTCCGCCTTGTGTGTCACCCTCGTTCTTCCGCAGTCACATACAAGCGTAGTATCCCAGGAACACCAGCGACAAGGACTTCACATTCTGTAGCTATGCGCCAAGGTGCAACTTTGGCACTGGAATTTAACAAATTTCTGCCTTTCATGTTTCTTGCTAGTCTTCGGTGTTCCAATGATATATTTTTAAGCAAAATATACTGGAGCAGTTAGCTATGCAACAAAGCACGTGGGCAGTCTTTTCTTCCAGCCCGATTTATCTGTTCTGAACAGCCTCCCTCAACACATTTGCTGGCGAGTAGGGACTGTCACGATAAATTGTTTTATGTTACCAATATCAAGTTTTTTATGCTTTCATCTACTCAGTGGGGGTGAGAAATAGATTTTTAGGTGCTCTTTTCTACACACTCCCCCACCGCCCCGCCCCTTTCAATTATACATTTGGAAAGAGAGACGTAAACATACAGAGTCTGAGATCTAAATGCTGCAAGAATAATCTTATAATAACTACGACACTTAAGTGCTGTAAGAATAATGCTCTCCTAACACAATCCTCCTACTCTCCCGATATGTATGAAACTGACTGGTCTCATACTAAAGTTTCAGAACTATTTCAGTTTTCTTAATTGTACAATGCCAGTACTAATTTACTGCCGTGGCCAGATCTGATCTATGGTTCTGTATAAAGTGCCTGCTGCTACGCACAGATGCTGCAGATTATCTACTCAAGCAATTTATGCCAGCAGCTTGTAATAGCAAAACATTAATTTCAGCATTCCAAGATACTCTACAGACATAATTACTCGAACAGAATTCCAAAAAAAATAGTTTAAAAAATATCATACGTATTACTTAATGAGACAATTTGCAATGACTATTAGCTATTAAAATTATCAGGAAAAAACAAATAGCTTGGTCACCACCGGTATTATCAAATCAAAGCATACAGCCTTTTATAAAAGGCTAATTACTGTTTTGTAAGACTTTCCAGTAACTCCAAAGAACCAGCACTAATTCTGATCGACAGCCACCATGTTCAAACCAAGCCACGAGAAATTTAATAAGGTGAAACAATCTGCCTTTACATCAGATCTTTCTGCTCCTCAGGGATTAAACAGAAACCTGTGATTTACTGTCTGACAGTTTTTTACTAAATCCCAAAGCAAAAGACAGTATGCATTCTCTGACCGCCACACCACCTTTCCCACAGGTTTTTCTAGTATCGGCGCCCATTCAGTTAAGCAGTGTTTTAATCAGCTTTAAGGGAGGAGGAGGGGAGAGAGAGAGATCAAATGGAGATCTTACAGGATTTAATCTTCACTACAAATTCTACGCTAGTGCCACAGACTTGCTTAAAACGTCAGTAACGTACGCACTTTGCAGTAACCTCCAGAGAAAGCATACGCGCTTTGTGTGTTTATAAGAAGCTATGAAAACATCTCTATTGGTTACAAACCTGGACAAGCAGTTATTCACTCCGATCCTTTGGCTCTCGGTACTTCCACTGGATATAGTCAAAGATGTCTTTTTCACATTCTACTGGCAGGGCCTCCCCAGCAACTCCTGCAAGCAAATTACAGATGCTATTTGAAAGGTGGAAGGTCTGTACAATCCTGAAACGCCAAATGCATTGCAAGATTAAGATAAAAGTGGTATAAATAAAACAGACTTAAAAAGCCAAAACAAAACACTTCCCACAGACCTTTTCATAGAGTGTTTAGGTACTGATGCTCATTAGCATCAAAGGAAATAAGGTCATAATGAATTAACTTTGGGCCCATGTGGTTATGCAGTTAAATAACTTTATGTTCTTACATACATGTATGCATGTATATATGTATATAGTCAGCCCCCCTCCAAACCAGAACAAATGAAGGACATCACCCATCTTGTTAAAAGAGTGGGAAACCACGTGTGTGCTGCGCATGACACCGAAAAAAACAGTCTTTAGGTCAGTAAGACTTTAAGTAGATTAGGTGGCCCAAAGAGGTAACTTTGTGCCACAACACTGTCTGTGCATAAGTAGGCTGCCTCTTCCTGCTAGAACGGTGTCCAAAACCAGAAAGGACACTGAAAAATTTAATAAACTACAGTATTTATCGGAAGTATTTCTAGGACACCGACAAGCCAATTTAGGAAGATGATCACACAAAGCATGTAACTAGAAAGATATTCTATGCAAAGGCCCAGACTGACCAGTGACACCCAGGGGACGGATTGTGTACTCATTGATTGTGAAGCCCATTTCCAGAGCATGAGTTCTCATGTTCTTATTGAATATGTCACTTCCTGTGAAATAGAGTACACCACAGTAATACTGATCTTTGGGGATAAGCCTAGAATAAAAGTGGAAGAGAAGTACAGATTTAGAACAAAGACACAACAAAAAAGTTATAAGACATTTGTAATTCAGCCATTCACACTGTGTTCTAGGTTTACTTCCTATTTACGTGCTCACATTCTGCAACTGTGCATTTGATTTTCCCAGAAGCCAGATGCAAGAACGAAATGAATTGCATCTCAAAGAAACATTCAGCACATCTACGCTGACACAGAAGTTACTGGTATTCAGCCACTACATGGTTACGGTGCTTGCACTCCTGCCAGGAATTAATGTCAAAGCAGTACGATAAGGTAGGTCACATTTCCGAAACTGGGTACAAAGTCGTGATTTAAAAGACAGCTTTCTTCCTAATAACCTGTTGTAGACACTGGCAGTTGTACAGTGGCTTCCATACTACCCAGGAATTAGGAACCTAATAAATGCCATGTTCTGAATACGGAAGCAGATTTGTATGCAGGACTCGATGAAAACGCCTACTGTGTAGCAGATAGCTCGAGCAGGGTTTTTGAGGGTTTTTTGGGGTGCGTGTACCGGATGTCAATTCTCCTGTGTGGATAGGCTGTTCCATCTTCTTTATTTGGCAGCTGACAAACGCCCTGTGAGGAAGTAAGGAAAGCAAGAAATTAAAAATGAAATTAAACAGATTTGAGATCAATCTTTACCTCCCCCTACACCTAAATAACCTCTAAACAGTCCTCAGTCATCCTCAAGAGCAAAGTTAAATTCCTGCTGAATCGATTAAAAAAATATTTTACTAGAACAGCAAGATGTTATAATACTGGGAATCACTATTTTGCATCGCTAAGATGACCATAGTTCAGCGTAGCACAACTGCTTCTTAAATTTCTATTACAGCAGGAAAGATCACAGGACTTCTCGTTTTCCATTCCTCTGCTCTAATTATAACCAGGCTCTTCAGTATGCACAAACATCAGCAGGTTAAGGAAAACGCAGATGAGGCTCAAGCTAATAGAATTTAAAAGAAGAAAGTTTTTTTCTTGAGAAATCTTCCACTTCTCATTTCAAAACTGCTTTGTAATCTTCATGCAATTCACATATCAGCCTTTTTTGCCCCCCTTGTCTACGATCACCTAACATGACAATGCAGTAGCGGGGAGGGACGTGAACCATAAGGAACGATGAGAAATGTTTACATACTAAACCATTTCATCAACTGCAGCTTCATGCTGAGACTTCTATTCTTAGCTTCCTTTAGAAAGCTTAACATTGCTTATGCTTTTAAAGTTACGAAGTTACGTCATCTGCCTTCTTACTGAGATTCGTTTTTCTCTGATTCTCAGCTGCAGTCATATTTCCCTTTTTACAAGGTTCCGTTCTTGACTTCCACTTTGAAAACAAGAGCTATTCCACAACTATTTAAGACTGGCAGGATTATACAGTGCAAATGGTCAAGCTAAAATGAGCTTGTCAAACTGTGAATGGAAACTGGGATGCAGAGTGTCTCTGCTTTTGGCTCACAGATGCACATAGCTGTAAACCCATACGGTATTCACACTTAAACCACTTGGCAAGGATGAAAGGCACTTTCACTTATTCCTCCTAAAGATCAAGCCAAAAAAAAAAAAAAAAAAAAAAAGCCATCAGGTTTCATTCCCTCTCAGAATGCAACAAAAAAGAAAAAAACAAAGCAAACAAACAAGAAAATAATCAGGTGCTCCAAGGGTCCCCCTTCATTATGGGAAAACGAGTATTTTTAACTGTAGTATTAGCTATCTAAGTATTTATGCCTTCCAAAAGATTAGCTGAGTAGAACAGTATCTCAATTCTTGAATGGAAATTTTTAAGTAATGGATCTTCGGTGAACCCTCCTGCAGGACCGCTCCTCTGAGCTTCCAACAGAATCCCATAAAGCCAGTTTGAGTGACTAAAAGGAACTAACCAGTCTTCATTTCCAGTCAGTATTGCTTATGGTTCTATACTTCTCTGTTAGAATTAACTTTTAACCAGCCTCTAAGATCAGGATACCTGTGGTCAGTAAAAAAATAACTCAGTGAAGCATCCTAACACCCAAAGCACATGTTTCAGAAAAAGTTTTGCTGTGAGCAAGAGACCTAACAAAGTGAATGTTTCTGTAATTCATTAATTTCTTTAGGCATCCCACATATTTCTTATTATATCCTGAGTCTAGCAGCTTATCCACTAAATCTGCTCTACAACAAAAATGACAAAAAAGGAGACAAAAGTATATTACGTATTAGACAAAACAAGGTAAACATAGGCCCGAGATTAAAGACAGTGTTTCCAGGATCTTGACGACAGAGTTACAAAAGTGGTCACCGGTGCAAACTGAAGAGGTGAGGTTGTGCTCAGGTTCTGGGGAAACATCAAGCACAACAGAGACACGATTGGCACTGTGTGATGAAGTTTATGTCAGTGCGGTTCAGCACTACATAAATACCTGTAGATTTTCTAATACTGAAATCTTACCATGAGAGACTCACTAAGAGTTAACTACAGAAAGTTTTTAGGGGGGGGGGGGGGGGATAGGATGGAAGTTAAAAAAAAAAAAAATAGTTAAAAATAATCACTACTCCAGGAGTTCAAACAACGTGTCTTGTATATATCCTAGCTTCTGTCGTGAAAGGTAGTCCTCATCAATGGTCCTCAGCACCAAAAGAGCCTTACCATGAATTTGGTGTCACCTTTAGACAGCATATCTGTGACAAAGCGAACTTTTTCCAGTTGTTCTACAACTTGACGCAAAAGTTTTGACTAGGAACAGTGAAAACACAGAAGAAGAAATTATTTCACCGATAACATCTTACCCACTTACCAAGCAACAGCCCGCATACATACAAGACGGCTATAACTATATATATCACTGTACATGAAATTTCATCCAGAGGGGAAAAAAGATAATAATAATACTGAGAAAAAGCTAATAAAATTACAGTTGTGCAACATAAAAAAAAAGACTTCCACTGAAATCCCCACGTCCGATTGCTTTTGTCAGAAGTGACAAAACACGTTACTTGGTCTGAGTTTTCAACGTTTAAGCAATGAATCTATAGACGCAACACAAGAAATACAAACTGTCATTAAGCCTTCTCCAGTTAGGCCCAAGAGATTACAAGGGCAGCAAAACATTCGCTTCTCGTCCAGACCATAGCTACATAAAGAGATACTTACTCTACCTTTAATACCTACTTTATCCAGCTAGCTATTACAGTTCTACAGTGTAAAAGCACCTGAATACAAGGGGATGGGGAGAGCATGTGTGAAGGGGAGAGATAGAAGGGTAAGAGTAAACATACTGAGTAGTTCTGCAAGAGGAACACAACCTAACACATGGACCTCCGAATTGATTATAACTCCTCAAAATAAACGTGGTGATTCAAGAGAAGAGTTTACTATTACAGTAACAAAATTATGCAAAAAGCTGCAATACAAGTGTGAGACTACACCTCTTTGGAATTTAAACGTATCCAGCACTGGTCCACCGTATCAGAGGAACACACCTGCTTAGATGATTCAGATGTGAAACTTGGATGGGTTAGGAGAACATCCATATCACCGCTCGACTCCGCGCCTTGACAAGTAAGAAGAAAAGAAAAATCCCTCTACGTATGACAAAGTATACTATCATTGGTGAACATCTATCTAACCTTTTCCTATAAACATGTTTTTCTGGTAGAAAATAGTCACTATTCGAGGTATTTGCATACAAACTATCTTAAAGAGAACCTTGTTCTTTCATCAAAAAGTTTATATCCCTGTCAGAAATACTCAGGAATTTCTTGATGTACTCTATAGCAAAGAAGCGCAAGTGTCAATGTAAAAACAAAGCAAACAATTCACCTGTTACAATACAGTACTCTTATGGGGGCGGGATGGAGAAGCGAGGATTTATGCAGGTGTTTCATCACTGAACTAACCAGTCAAGACAATACTAACCGGAAAAAGTCAGGTTCCAGCATAATTTCCTCTCTAGAACAACAACATATATAATACCGAGTCTTGCTCATTAGCCCAAAATAAACAACAAGATCACAGAGTACCTACCTCGTCTAAAACTGCCGCAGACTGTAGCAATATAGTTTGGGTCCAGCTTCTTTACCTCTTTTAGCACAATTTCCTATGTAAAAAGGGAAGATGTGTGTTTAGAGGTGCCAGTCATTCACTGGCCATCAGTGCCTCACATCCTCTATGAAGACACTCTTACCTGCATTTGCAGCATTTCCTCCCTCGGGATTCTTTTCTCGAAGTCTTCAAAATATCTGCACGTATAAAAATGAAAGCGAAAGAGTGGTAACGGTAGCACCTAAAAATTTTAGTCAGTTAAACATAGATCAGAGGAAAAAATACAACTTATATTACAGTCACATCACAAAAAGCCACTCGTTCTCAACAAACATCTTAGAAAACATCTTGCCAAGCAATAGTAATAACTCAAAACTGCAAGTTTGACCATGCTTAGAAAATGGTTTCGTTGCATATCATTTCCACTGTACGTGAAGAGCTGCTACGAGATGGAAGTAATATTACTGTATAACCACTTGGTTTATATTTACATAGGCCTCTGAAAATACAAAAGGTTCCTGACAAAACTCAGTCCAGCAAGCAGGAGGAACAGGTCCCTCACCCATGGTCAGAGGTGATCTCTGTTGGAAAGAACTAAATGGAAGCTCGCAAGTCAAATAAAAGCTCCTGGTATCTTTGCATGCAGCTTAAAAGACAGACTGCCAGCATGCTGCTTGACTGTGGAGAAAAAGAGGCCAGATGAAACAGTGACACACCTGACCAGCAGGCACATTCTTCACCCCTCCAGCACCATTGACGCCAGGCTCTGGCAGCCATACTACAGCCCCAGAGCCACATGTGCCCTGACACCCATTACCCAACCATCTCAATCCCAAACTCTGTAGATAGAACTTCTGGAACTAGGGACAAAAAGACCACCACAGAGCACCAAAAACATTATTTCAGCTCAGTGCTTATTGGAAATTCTGAAACACCCAAGCACAACGCTAGAAGCAGACCCAAGGGCAACATGTGCACTAGCAACACGGACAGATCAGCTGAGTCTTCTTACACTTACTTAACAGTGAAAGGTTTTCCTTGAATGCTCACACATATAAAGGCAGGGATGCATGCTGGATACGGGGCTCAGATGAGCGATGGGAAGGTGACAATCATCCAGCGAGCAGTTTGTTCAGACTGCATATTTCCATATCTCTGCCACTGATGTGGAAACACTAGAGCTGGCCCCACACAAAACCAGATCAGATATAGGGCTTTGCTTGGTTCATTCACAGCTTCTTGCAAACACCACGACAGTTCTTCCAGAAGTAGCTCACTGGAACAGCCACTCAGCAAGCAGCATTCAAGCTCGTAAGTACTGAGGGACAAACACTCTTTCTGCATGGCGTTCTCAAGTCCAGACATGGAAAGGTGTTGCTTTGCTCACAGCGCGTAACAAAAAACAGCGTGGGGAGCTTTTATGCAGATACCCCAGCAACATCATTCCAACCTTACTGAAGTGATAGTCAGCTTACTGAAGAAGTCATTTGAAATTAACTTCCTTCTGGATGAAGACTAAGCCTACTGAATTTCAACCCCGCTGAAACAGAAGTTCTGCATAGCTGCTGAAAAGCATGTAGAGCACCCAGAGAGAACAACCGTACTTGACCTGTGTGCGTAACATTACACGACATCCTGGTGTCTGAAGGAGTCATTAGAAAAGCCAAGCACTTGCATCCAAGAAAGCTTACCTTAACCCAATTCGCTGGTGATGGGTCAGCTTATGCTCATTTTTTCTTAGATCTAGAAGAATTAAGGAAAACAAACAAACAAGTTACTTGGAGACTAAAAATCTTACAGTAAGTTCCCACCAATGCAAAGATGATGCACGGAAAGAACATGCAACAAGAAAACAACCACCTCAAACACAAAGGCAGAGATATTAAGCTGACCACTCTACAGCTGACAGGATGAGTACAAATGCATAGAGCACTTCCTGATACAGGTTTCAATAGACCGTCCATCTCAAAGCCCAAATCCTTGTTATTTTCCATGTAATCTGTAAGTGCCTTACTTCGGATATGTATGTAATGCTTTTAGCCTGTGCACTAATTTTAGCACCTTGTACGCTTTCCTCAAAGCCTAGGGCACATCTGCTATCACAGTACCACTGCAGAACAGGCAGCTTAACTGAAAAAAACATTATTGGGGCATGACCCGTGGACCCAAAGTTACACTTACCTTCTAAAGTCTTAATTCCTTCCTCAACAAACTTCCTAGCAGCAGCAGGACTGCAAAGAGACAAGGCAATCTGCCATCAGGAACAGCACGATTCTTACAACACTGAAAAGGACATTAGAATTCACTATAACTGCCTAGGTTCTTCAAGGCCAGGACTGAAGTTGTTTCCGATGCTCACCGTCTTTTCAGCATATGCATTTTCAGTTTGTACTTTCAATCAGCAAAGATGGCTATCCGAGGCTTGGCCTTCACATTTTTTAGCACTGATGTAACTATACAGTAATATATAATTGTAAAAAAATAACCAAACAAAAATCTTACCAAATAGGCAATATTGCTTTAGACAACAATACCGAATGCATGGTAAGAGCTACTTTAACCACAAGCCATCTCTGAACCAGCTGAAGGCAACAGCAACACAAAAGACTAGCACTTCAAAAAAAAAAAGCAGTAAGGTTGCAGTTTGCAACCTACAGTACAGCAAAGCAGTCCCAGCTCCAGTTTGGCCGGAGAGTTTTCCTCAAGCACAAGATTCAAGTGAATGGCTGAACCTGCTTCCCCTTTAAGGGTTCTTCATGAGATTGATCTGCATGACTCTGTGGCGAAAGAACAGTGTTTCAACTGTGAGAGGGGCACTGAAGTAATGTTACACCCAGATACCTGTCCAATATCTCAAAAGGCTCTCAGAACCACCAGCCTGGAAGCGTAGTCCTTTCCGGGGGAGCTACTCTCCACCTACTCTGGAATCCCATGGTTACAGCTCTACCACCCTTAAAGATTTTGAATCTACTTCCTCAATAAAACCCTTACATTACAATAGAGCAGTCAGATCTTGACTTGCCATTTACTTCCTTTCTCACCCTTCCCTGCATCTCTTGCCAGATTCCAGACCAAGAGAGGCAACTTCCACTGTCCTGAGACAGGACAGCACTCAATCTCCTTCTGCATCCCAACCCAATTTCTCAAAAGCATTCTCTATTCCCAGTAGTACGTCTTCAAACTTTAAGCACATTTTCCCTCAGAATTATTTGAGAACAATTGCATACCCTACCCTCAACCTCAAGGGTTTCAAATGTTGCACAAGAGCCCCGATGATTTTTTTGGGGCTTTGTTTGTCTGTTTTTGTTTTGTTGCCCGCTTCAGAGCTCTACTTGTCTTTTTACAAACACGCAAGAGACCGCCGTTGTCACTGGGCCCAACTTCCCACCAAAAGTTCCAAAGGGACTTCTCACTTCCACTCTTCTCAGACTCTCACGGTTCTGTTCTTGACAAGCTCCTCTCTCCTTCCCCTCTCAGCTTGCACACAGGACCTTCCGACTTCCACTCCTCTACCGCAAAGTCTGGAATTGATGATTCTATACCCTCTCTTCTCAGCCAGTTGTGTCATCACAACTGTGGTGTCTCACTGTGGGCGCTACAGCATCAGCTCAAACCATTGCTCTTCATTATTTGCAATCACCCAAATTCTGTTCATCGCAAAATAAACAGAAGGGAATAAACTAAAAAACCACAAACCTCCAAAAGCCCAAACAAATAAAAAAACTTTACCCAATGCCAGTAACTCGTGTCAGGAGACTGATAGATGCGCTCGTATCATCTTGTCGAATCTACAAAAACAAAACAACCCTTCTTTACTCCACTTGCAATAAACAAATCTTGAGAAGATCGAACAGCTTAAGAGTCTCCTTTGGAGGCTCACTATAAATCACTGCAAAACATTACCGAGAGCAGTCCTGTGTGTCCCAGTGACATCGTATGTACTAAGCCTGAAAACGGCCTAACTACCCACGCTAAGGCGAACAGCACGGTGAAACCACAAAACTCCACTGACTTCCAGGGTCGGAATTCCACCTCTCACAGAAGACATTCACATGCGGATTATACATAATCTAAAATATTTTCATAGCTAGACAGTTTTGAGACTTTGGCTGAGCTTCTTGTTTCCTGCTTTCTACTCACCATAGACTCAGTCTCCATCATTCTTAAGCTTGACATTAGTCTCTCCAGGGACAACAACAGAAATGGCACAAAGCAAGCAGGCTACTTTGCAAGTTGCAAAGAAAAGCAACCACTGAGAAATAGAGCACAAGGGAAAGAAACCCACCTTTTCCAATTTGCGTAGTTTCCCAGTGGATAAGAACTCATCTATCTTCTCAGCTATTTTAGCACCTACTCCATCCTAAATATTGGGGGAGGGGGGGTATGAAACAAGTTAACTTCAAGATCAGTTAAGGCCATTACAAGTAGCAAAAAAGGAAAGCTCCCCAGAATTTAGAGATCAGGAAGAACTACAAGGCCACCGGGACCACGATGACCATGAGGGCACAAGAACTCAGGGGTACGATGCAAGCAGCATAAAAGCGCAAGGGCTGTATTTAACGTTCCCGCAAAGCGATAATTTTGAACAAGGTTTTGATTATTACTGCTCAAGTTCTCCGAATTCAGTGAAGGGGTAACAGAGCAAAGAGGGCACCTGCCACAACAGAACCCGTTCACAGGCAAGAGCCTCCGCTGGAGTCGGCAGTTCCCGCTGCGAAGCCCCCACAGCAGCCACAAGCCCCAGCTCGGTCATCGGCAGGAGACGCCGGCACAGGAGCTGCGCCCGCGCCTCCCGGGAGCCCCCGGCACCGCGCTCCCGCGGCCCAAGGACCTCCCGCCGGCGGCCCAGGCACGACCACCTACCAGCGTCTTGGCTTCGGCCCCGCTCCGTATCTTGCTGGGGTACCGGGAAATAACCGAGGCTGCTTTCCTGCGGAACAGGGCCGGTCAACGCCCGAACGCGGAAGCGGTCCGTGCCCCGAGACGGCGCCGCGGACGGGAGGAGGGAGGAGGGAGGGGGGAGGGAGGCGGTACCTGTAGGCGTTGTACTTGTGAACGGCCCGGTTCACGTTGCGCTCGTAATTGGCCAGTTCTGGGGGGAGAACCACGGTGAGAGCAGCCGGCGCGCGGCCCCGCCGACCCCCCCCGCCCCGGCCACACCCACCCACCGGTCAGGAAGTCGGTGATACCCTCGTTGGGGCTCCCCTGCGGAGCCTTCCGCTTGCTCATGGCGCGGCCCGGCTCCGAGCCGAGCGGAACGCCGGGCCAGGGGCGGCGGGGCGGCGCTTCCGGCAGTGACGTCACAGAGCACGGCCGCCTCCAGGAGGCATGCGCGGCGCTCGGAGGCGCGCGGCAGCGCGGCGGGGTTGCGGGGCGGAGTGAGGAGACGCTCCGAGTACGCAACAGTGGGGCACCCTGGCCCCATAGGGAGCCACTGGCCCACCCCATTGACCCCCCCGTCACATAGTGAGCCACTGGCCCACCCCATAGCCCCCCCTGCCAAATAGTGAGCCAATACCCCACCCCAGACATCCCCCTGCCACATAGTGAGCCAATGGCCCACCCCATAGACAACCCCTGCCACATAGTGAGTCACTGGCCCACCCCATTGACATCCCACTGCCACTTAGTGAGTCACTGGCCCACCCCACTGACCCCCCTTGCAAATAGTGATCCACTGGCCCACCCAATAGGCCCGCCTGCCACATAGTGAGCCAATGGCCCACCCCATAGACCCCCCTGCCAAATAGTGAGCCCATGGCCCACCCCATAGACCCCCCTGCCAAATAGTGAGCCGCTACCCCACCCCAGACAATCTTCTGCCACGTAGTGATCCACTGGCCCACCCAATAGGCCCACCTGCCACATAATGAGCCAATGGCCCACCCCATTGACCCTCCTGCCACATAGTGAGCCATTAGCCCACCCCATAGACCCCTCTGCCACATAGTGAGCCACTGTCACACCCCATTGACGCCCCTGCTAAATAGTGAGCCACTAGCCCACCCCATAGACCCCCCTGCCACATAGTGAGCCAATAGCCCACCCCATTGACCCACCTGCCACATAGTAAGCCACAAACACAACCCATTGACCCCACTGCCAAATAGTGAGCCACTGGCCAACCCCAGACATCCCTCTGCCAAATAGTGAGCCAGTGGCCCACCCCATTGACGCCCCTGCCACATAGTGAGCCATTGGCCCACCCCATTGACGCCCCTGCCACATAGTGAGCCACAGTCACACCGCACTGATGCCCCTGCCAAATAGTGAGCCTGCATGCCAACTGTACCCCCTGACTGCAGAGCCGCGGACGAACGACACGCCGAGACGGGTTCAGTGTGGGTGATAGAGCATCAGTCAACGTGTGTCTTTATTGGTCCAGGGTACATATATTTATCCAGACAATGATAATTATTATGCCTACTAGTCACTAGCTGATTGGCTTAAGCTCTAAAGGTCGTATTCACACGGTCCACCTACTTGCAGTTAGCTTACAGCACAAGCTTCTCATAACACTAAGTTTCTCATGCTACTATTTCTGATTCCTCTTGACTTGTTTTCGATACACGACAGTACCGTAACACAATGTTTCTCAGACCACCGTTATCATAACACTAGGTTTCTCAGACCACTATTCCTAATTCCCCTTAACCTGTTTTCGACACACCACGGTACACAGGGCTGAAGCGTCCTTGACATTCCTCATGTATCAGCAGCTGCGAGCAGCTGCAGGAAAACCCTAGTGAGGCTCAGCATCAGCAGCTAGAGCAGGCTCTGATCATACAACTGCTCGGTGGGCTCAGGACCCTTGTCTCTGAGCCATTCTCCAACACCTCGAGCACAAAGAGATGTGAGGACATAGAGATCCGAGGAAGGGCAAAGACACGGCAGACAGAAGAAATGAAACTACATGTTGACACACACAGAGGCTCGAACTGCCCTGCCCAGGACACGCTAACATCGAGGGGAAAAGTAATACATTACTTAATGGAATATATAAGTAATATATTAGTAATATATATTATAATATGTAATAACTGAAGTGCCATCTGAAGTGCCATCTGAAGTGCCATCTGAAGTGCCATCTGAAGTGCCATCTGAAGTGCCAACTTCAGTAGTACTTTTCCTTTGGGTACTCTGTAAGTGCTATATATTATAAACAATATATACAAAAAGCAATATATATAATACAAAGTAATACTTTAGGTGATACATTAAGTGCTACGCAAGTGTTACATAATATATTAATTTAATATATAAGATATGTTAGTACTACATTAGTAATATTTAGGTGATATATATTATGTAATCACTGAAGTGCCAACTTGAGTGACAACTGAAGAAGTACTTTTACTTGGGGTACTGTATAAGTACTACATATTATAAGCAATATACATGAGAAGCAATACATATAATACATTGAGTGATACAATAACCGATACAAAATAGATTATATAATATATAATATATTACTAATATATTACTAATACATTAAGTAATATATATTATATGTTATATCTTTGAGTGCCATCCTGAGTGCCACTTTTACTTGGGGTACTATATAAGTACTATGTATTATAAGCACTATATATAAGAAGCAGTATATATAATATAAAGTAGTACAATAAATGATACATTAAGTGCTACGCAAGTGATATGTAATATATAAGTAATATATTAGTACTATATTAGTAATATTTAGGTGACATATATTATAATACGTAACCATTGAAGTGCCAACTTGAGTGCCATCTTGATTCTCGTAGGATCTACCCCCTCTTTGTCATTTAGTTCCATCCACAGCATAATTCCAGTAGAAGCTAGCTAGCGTGCGCAGTCTCGGTAGAAACGAAGCGCAACCCTATAGCATTTTGTTTGTTTTCTTGGAAACTAAAGCACATCGTTGTCAATAAGAGTATCGCTATTGCCTTTATTCAACTCTTTTGTTACAGAGCCTAATCAAATACCCATCTTTTTCTATGTATACCTTGGAAAAATTAAGCAGAACTCCCTACCGGGTCGCATCGCCGACACAACAGGCCCAGTAAAAGAGCGGGTATCGTCATTTCTGGTAAGAGTCGCTTTCTCCGCAGAGTGCTACGCATGTTGTAAACTTCAGGCAGAGAAGAAAATTCCCCTTTGCTCCTCTGGCTGGCTTTATAGCTGCGGGGGTTGGCCCCGCCCCTTTCCCAGGGGATTGTGGGCGGGCCAGTGGGCGGGCCAGTGGGCGGGGCCCCGGGGTATATGAGCCCCGCCCCCACCGCTTGTCAGGGAGCTCATTCTACTCCTGGGTTTCTCAGGAGTCAGGGCTCTCTCAGTCCTTCAGTCAGTAGCAGCTTCTGAGCCATTTAAGCTTGTGAGACAGATGTGTTTTGATCTCTAGAGGAACAGAGTCATTTGAGGTAAGATTTTCTGGACCGGTCAAGGTTCAGCATCATATATAGGAGATAGAATGTTTATATGTAGCATGCTTTTTTTTTTTGACTTTACGTTAGTAATTTTGTTTTGGAGGGCAAGATAGTTTAATAAGATAGCTTCACCTTTGGGATCATCTGAGCATCTGAAAGCAGCCGGGTAGTAGCAAGGATGAGCACGGGGCCGGTGACTTCTCACAAGCCCAAGGGTAACTTTGTCTCTCGGTAAGTTAGGTACCGCAAGCAGCAACGGCTGCAGCATCTGACTCCAAAACGAGCAGGCGAGCGGAACACCACAATGCTTCTTAGGATGGGGGCGGGTTGTGGAAGAGGTAAGTGAGGAGCAGCGTGATACTGACCGGCAGTTGTGCTCTTCTGTGCTTTTTTGCAGGCGATAAAGTAATCTGGCCACTGCAGGAACGTGCTAGTTAGCTGCTGTGCTGTTTTTGTCGAGGATGGAATCGGACCTCCGGCCCTCTGAAAGCTAAGTTGAGCGAACGGGGCCGAGAGGAGGGGACGAGGTTGGGAACTGCAAGGAAGTGTTTGAAAGTTAGCACAGGGGAGAAGGCTGTACAGGAGCAGGGCCCTGAGGTCAGGTAAAGGGAACGGATTACTTTTCCCCTCGATGTTAGCGTGTCCCGGGCAGGGCAGTTCCCGCCTCTGCGTGTGTCAACGTGTAGTTTTGTTTCTTCTGTCTACGGTGTCTTTGCCCTTCCTCGGCTCTAAATGTCCTCGCGTGTCTTTTGTGCTCGAGGAGCACGGCACGTGCCTGAGGCGCCATCCCTAGGGTATCGAACGCCCATCTTCATCGGCACGCTGCCGATCGGGTGCTTTTTATTCTTGCGTTATAAGCTTGAAGCGTGGGTAGGTCTTGGAAGTTTCCGGTCGGGAGTCTTTTGCGCAGCGTCGTCGCAGGCTCTGGCGTCAGCTGTGCTATTTAGGCATCCGTGGTTCCTGCCGGTGACTTCTTTCCCGTATCCTGACGTTCCTAGGTCTTGAAGCCCATCTTCTTGCATACCCATCGTCTCGGTTTTGACGGTAGCTTCTCATAAGGGGCTGTTCCACTTGCTGCTTCTTGTAAGCTGCCATATAGCCTCCTTATGTCACCATCGTGGCCGTCTAAGTCTTTTTGCCTTAAGGTATACTCTTCTGGGTGTCCTTATCGCTTAGTGTTTAGTCATCTTTGAATATATTACTAATATATTCCTTATATATTACATTACGTAATGTATTTCATATCACTTATTGTATCACTGAAAGTATTATATATATGGCTTCTTAAACATATTGCTTATAAAATATAGTACTTATATAATACCCCAAGTAAAAGTGGCACTTCGGTTGGCACTTCGGTTGGCACTTCGGTTGGCACTTCGGTTGGCACTTCGGTTGGCACTTCGGTTGGCACTTCGGTTGGCACTTCGGTTAATACATATTATAATATATTACTTATATATTCCATTAAGTATTGTATTTCATATCACTTATTGTATCACTTAATGTATTATATATATTGCTGCTTATATATATGGATTATATTATATAGTACTTATATAGTACCCCAAGTAAAAGTACTACTCAAGCTGGCAGTCAAGCTGACACTTAAGTTGGCACTCTAGGTGGCACTCTAGTTTGGAGGAGACAGTGCTGTACAGCGACCCTCGTACGTGCAGGGGCTTTCCGTGAGAAGTTTTCGCTGTGGGCCTAAAAGCGCTGTTCTGGTTGCTGTCAGGTGTTGGAGAATGGCTCAGACAAGGGTCCTGAGCCCACCGAGCAATTGTATGATCAGAGCCTGCTCTAGCTGCTGATGCTGAGCCTCACTAGGGTTTTCCTGCAGCTGCTTGCAGCTGCTGATACATGAGGAATGTCAAGGACGCTTCAGCCCTGTGTACCGTGGTGTGCCGAAAACAGGTTAAGGGGAATTAGGAATAGTGGTCTGAGAAACCTAGTGTTATGATAACGGTGGTCTGAGAAACATTGTGTTACGGTACTGTCGT